GAGAGAGAGAGAGAGAGAGAGAGAGAGAGAGAGAGAGAGAGAGAAATTTATTAGGTGCTGGAGAGATGGCTCAGCAGTTAAGAGCACAGGCTGCCCTTCCAGAGGACCTGGGTTCAATTCCCAGCACCCACCTGGAAGCTCACAACTATAACTTCAGTTCCAAAGGATCTAACACCCTCAAACAGACACATATGCATGCAGGCAAAGCACCAATGCACATAAAATAAAAATAAATTAAATTAAAATATGTTGAAAATGACCAAGTTAAAAGCAGACTTTGCTTCCAGCTCAAAGAACACCTTGATCAAATCCTTCACCCTCACTGTGCCCTTCTGTCAATGGATCTGACTCGGTGTGAGGTGCATTACAAACAACTCAGTAAGCACCAGCTGTGCTTTTTGTTAGCCAAATCCGGGAACAGCGGACCAGATGCCTCACTAGATTTCCATAATCTCCACACAACAGGCTGTGTCACCCCAATTTCAGAAAACTGAACCGAGTGGATGCTGACTGATTTCTGCCCTGTCACCTACAAGCTCATATGACAAACAGGACCCAGTCCTCGGGTTAGCACGTGCTCAATGACCACTCTAACTCCGTGGCATCTTCAAGCCCCTCCAACTTTAAAATGACTTCCGAAGTAGCCACAAGTTCAAGCCACACACTGGGTTCTCAGTAGGACCCTAACACAAGTTGGAACCATTCTTGCTCGCTCTGGAAGTATCACGTACGTGTTCTCAACAGCAACTGAAATCAATCAGCACTCAGTGGACTTATGTGGAATACTTACAAAAGGACAAAATGTTCCGTAGGTTCCCATTTATTGCTTCATTTCTCACTTCAGCTTGAGCAAATTTATTACTTGTAGGTAGACATTCATTTTCCTGGGGACAAAGCATACATCAATGGTAATGTCCTTCAGCTAACAATATTTTGATATGCCATTCTAATTTCCTAGCTTTCAAATATGTTTATCACCATGTACCAAAACAATCTATCATCTTTTTCAAAGATAATCTTCTAAAACTATATGTAGCTGAGTAACCAAATCTTGGCAAAAAGAAATTTGATTCTAAAGGGCCAACACCCCAGTAAGTATTATCAAGACAGATGATCTGTTCTCATGTGTACTACTCAGGACAGGACAATCAAGACAAAACTAAAATGGTAGTTTATAAGAAATACAAATTTTTTACTTTATGTTTATGGACTTTTTTGCTTGCATGAATGTCTGTATAAGAGGCATGCCTGGTGCATGTAGAGACCCAGAAGAGAGTGTCAGATCTGCTGGAACTGGATGATTGCGGGTACTGAGACTCAAACTGGCTCCTTACTCTTTTAACCCCCGAGCCATGTCTCCAGTCCCACTAAAATGGTATTTTGACACATATGGTAAAAATCAGATTTATATAACTCTAAATGGTTTATCACATCTCAACATTAAATAAATGTATAGGAACTAAAATTCAGCTCAAATGTTTTTATATAGTACAATATTACAACCACCCAAACAATAAAAGGCAAAGAATAAAAATAAATGGCATCTATAAAATAAAATATCACACAAGCATTAAAATGATTTGTAGAATTACATATTGCTATAGGATACCTACTCTTTCAAAGAGATTTCTTAAGCATATTCACATATGAAAGGAAAATGTTAAGAAAAAATAATCATCTAAAATACAAGACTATCTCACGGAAATACCTATGGATAAGTTATATAGACTTACCAACTGACTAGTAGTCTCCATGTATTAATGAATAAAATATAATATTGTCATAATCTTAGACTAATAAAAAATGATTTTTAATGTGTAGCTAAGTATTAACAACCACAGTAATACCGTAAGGTCTATTAAGCATTTAATAGTATGGTTGATTCTGAGCCAATAATGCTTAATGAATGGAAATAATGAGTGTAATCAAAATTCCCGCAAGTTCACAACTTAGGTCTAATTTTCTCCTAAGAGTTCAACAGTTCTGAAAAAACAAGTCACAAGACAACAGTGGAACCTGGGGCTGTATTTCTACAAAGAATGAAGTGTGCAGAAAGTCACTGTGTACCAGTCGTTTCTAATGTAAGCACACACAGCACAGGGTCAATAGCTTCTCTTGGGAACTAGGGCAGAGAGCTGGGGAACAGAGCTCATCTGGCAGTTATCTCCAGACAGACACCAGTCCTGGACTCGGACCCTAGCCCAGATAAAACACCCAACACGCTAACGTATGCCTACTGTCCCAGCACTCGGGAGCTGGGACTAAAGGTCGGACTGAAGAAGGAAATAAGGAAGGTAAGTAAAAGACACTCAAGATATAACTCCCAACGTTAAGATGATTATAATTATGAAGTTATTTCAAAGAAGGGAACATTCTTACAAAAACCTGGACAGCATGCAAGTACCTTCTGCCCTATTGCTCTTCCTGGCAAAACGCATATTACACTTTGCTTTGAAATTAGAAAATGTAAATTTGTTTTGTTTTATTTTTTTGAGACAGAGTTTCTCTGTGTGTGTAGCCCTGGTTGTCTTGGAACTTACTTTGTAGACCAGGCTGGCCTCGAACTCATGGACATCTGCCTGCCTCTGTCTCCCGAATAATGGGTGTGTGCCACCACTGACTGGCTTAAAAAATGCAATTCTCGCATGGTTCAAGTCAATTTCTTTTTGATTTTTGATTTCACTATTGTATGTGTATGACTTTTCCAGCATTCATGTCTATGTACCACGTGTGCCTAGTGCCTGTGGAGGCCAGAACAAAGTGTCAGAGCTCCTGGAACTGGAGTTATAGACAGATGAGCTACCACTTGGATTCTGAGAATCAAATCTGTATCCTCTGCAAGAATGGTCAGTGCTCTTCAAAGCTTAGCCATCTCTCCAGCCCCCAATGTCAACTCTGCAAATGTCACTCACAACACCTTGCTGCTTCTGGTAGGGTCAAAAGCATGACAGGAAAGTAATGTTTCCAAGCCCAACAAAAATTATTTTTTCAAATACAGGTTAATAAATATATTAGTAATAATGTATTTAGGAAAATTTGTAAGAAAAAATTGCAGTTTCTACAATGAGACCAAGGAGTGAATCTTTTTTTAAAAAATAATTTAATTTTATTTTATGTGCATTGGTGTAAGGGTGTTAGATCCCCTGCAACTGGAGTTACAGACAGTTGTGGGCTGCCGTGTGGAACTGAACCTGAGTCCTCTGGAAGAGCTGCCAGTGCTCTTAACCACTGAGCCATTTTTCCAGCCCCTGGAGTGAATCTTTTTAATGCTTCAGCTATCAAGACAGTCATATCAACACATAAGAACGATGCTGTTTAGTCTTTTTATGATTAGTTAAACCTATTACATATACTAACCAGTGTTTTTATAGGGCCTTAAAAACTGTATACACAAGACCATTTTAGTTCTCTGTTCAATGGGTTTTTTTTAATGACAATGAAACGTTAGGGAGAAAGTATTTTCTTCAATTATGCCATTAAAAGCACACTTGTACCCACCTGCAAAGCAGCTCGAACTGACTCTGCATTATCAAAGCATGGAAACACATACTGTATATATGTGTCCTGATCAGGATTTACACCCAACTCACTCATTATTTTGAGGATATCCATTATTCCTATGAGATAAAACACAGCAGGGCAGAGATAAATAAAGGGAAGTCATAAGGTTTAGCCTGGTTATTCACTCAATCTGTGAGGAAATGAAATCCTCGGCACTTTGTCTAAAAAACAAAACACTAGCAATTAAAACCATCCAAACTCTAGGGAAAGAGACAGGATTTACCTGGGCCACTGTCACCTGCTAAGACAGTCTGTCACATACTGCTACAATCAACCAGATGGACTCACTTTATTTGGAGGCCCTCTGTTCTGCCCCTTGGCTCACCTAGCACTTTTACTTTCAGGCCGGCCTCCTTACAAACAACCCCCTTCAGGGTCTTTTCTCTGTTGTTGAGACAGGGTCTCACTATGTAGCCCTCAGACTCGGAGACCCAGCTGCCTCTGCCTCTGCCTCTGCTGGGATTAGAGGCACGCTCAGCTCAACCCTCCATGTTTTTTTTTGATGCCTCCTAACTATGTCAAAGAGAGTGTGGTCCCAATCCCGTGCTCCTCCTCCTCCGCTCATGCTGCTTGCTGAGGACGGGCTACCTGGTGCCTTTTCTCTTCCTGCCACAGAGAAGGACGGTAGTAAGAGGACTCAAAAGAGTCTTGTTGGCGATCAACAGAAACGCTATCATCCTGTTACTGAAAACTCGGCTCAATTTCATGTGACCTCTGGTTCCGAGGCTCTGCTCACCCTTACTAAGCACTCCTGAGCAGCTGCAGGCCCAGGGGTCCTCTTCCTCCCCTCACTTCACACTGGACAGCCTGGACCAAGAGCAGGTGCATCTCCTGAGTGAGAATGGGGCTTTCTAGCCTTGCTGCAGGACAGAAACTACACAGAAGCATACAGCCCCTTGACACTTACATGCAAGACTACACAGAACACGTTCCTGCCTTCAGAACCTCCAGGAGAGGTCTAGAGAGCACAGATGGTGTTTAAAAGCTGAAGGACAACTGACACTCTCTTGGACTATCAAGTCAGTTCCTCCAATAAAGCACAGGCGGCTTCTGTATTTTTTCAAGTAGAATGTGGACCGGTTTAAAAATCTTGTTCCTGATTTTATAATGTCCTTAATGTAAAACCTCGTGTCTAATTTCCAAAGGACTATAACTCGAATTCAATAAAAAACCCTGAGTCAGATGTTGGGGTAAATGCTGAAAGATCAGAGACAAAGAAACAAGCCACGGCTACCAGCTCTTACCTCACCAACGCCTCAGTGAAAAAGCCTCAGCCGATAGGTCTCTAGCCAAATCAGCTTCCTCAGCCAAAAAAGCCTCTAGCTGAAAGGGAGGCTTCTGCTGAAAAGCCTTTAGTTCCTGTCTGCTCACGCTGTATATACCTTTCTCCGCCCGGCCATCGCTTCCTGGGGTTAAAGGCGTGTGCGCTTCCAAGCAAGGCCTGAGATCTCAAGTGCTGGGATTAAAGGTGTGTGCCACCACTGCCTGACTCTGTTTCTCTCCTAGACTGAGTCAATCTCATGTAGTCCAGGGTAGCTTTGAACTCACAGAGATCCAGACAGATCCTGCCTCCCAAGTGCTAGGGTTAAAAGTGTGTGCCACCACTGCCTGGCATCTATGTTTAATCTAGTTAGTGGCTTGTTCTGTCCTCTGATCTTCAGGCCAAATTTATTAGGGTTACACAATATATCACCACAAAGGACAAGTAAGAATGTTCCTAAAACAATGTAAGGGTTACTGAGTGGCCGTGACAGGAAAAAGTATTACAAAGGACAGAAATCATTTTTGATCCTGACATACTGCCAGCATCTGTGGTCAGTCCCTGAACCCTTTGGCTCTCAGTTCCCTCAATAATATAATGTGAGCTTTCAACAAAGCACCCTCCAAGTCTCCATTCTGAGATGGGAGGGAAAGGCAGCTGCAGACAAGCCCAACTTCTACAAGCTCAGCTCACTCTAGCTACAAGAGCCCTGGACTTCTAGGTTCACTAACTATTAATGTAGCAGCCACTTCAAAGGGTAGACATTACAAAATGGTGCAACCAGGAAACTTACCTGATACATGGACATTTCAAAAGGCACCAAAAGTATTTTCCTACCAGGGTCAAGATAAACATGCCCAAGAGTTTGATGGGATGCTGTGAATATTCTGTACTGCAGAAATACTAGGCTAAAGGGGACTTCATGCTTTCAGAACTGGAGGATACACAAAGAGTTAATCAACTCATATTGTTTTCACAAAGACTTTTCTAAAAAGGATTTAGAGACTTTTATAACCAGAAACAATTAGGGAATACTTGTTTCCCTATTTCCTTTAAGCCAGAAGACAACCGTATATTTAAAATAAAATTGCAACGGGAAAGTCTGCTAAAAGCACTTTTTGTTGTTTGTGCGTTCTGTTTGTCACCCAGTGTCACACTAACAACCCTGCATCTCATTCCGAAGCACATTATACTGTGAGATAAAATGAAAAAAGACCATTTTTGTTTCCCCAAGGGGGAGGTACTTCTGTTAAAAGCATCTTTTTACGAGACTACTCTTTCTGATTACCAGTAATGCAAACCACAGAATTAGATACTGTGCTCTAAAATTTAATATTTGTTCCATTTTATTCATATCCTATAGACATCCCATGTGTACCGGGAAAAGTATGTTAAATGCTTCAATGTACTTAAGAAGCTGAGCGACTGAGCACTTGTGTCTTCAATCAGCAGGCTGTCAGGTCACAAGCACTACTTTACAGTAATCAACTCCTGGAGCTGAGCTCGGGAAGAACAGGCTGGCCCACAGAGGAAACGGCCACACTCTCTGTTTTAGGAACTCCATTATACATAACTTCACTATGGCTAGACAAACTGTTTGCACTACACTCACAAGTTTGAATATTTGTTTAAGAGGTGAACTAAGAAATGAAATTATGGTGAAAAGTATCCACTTTAGTATTCTTAGCACAATTCTAGTTTCTCATGAGATCTAATTCTCAAAAATAAGTGTGCTTTTAAAGAATTCCAACAGATGTGTGTTTACTTGCAATCACTCTGACCAATTATGAGTCCACAAAAGGCAAAGCTCACCTTGAACATTTTTCGTCTTCTGATGTCCAGCTAGCAAGGGCCAGAAATAGTGCGTTCGGATGGGAAGCCCTTCTTCCCTCAAAGCCTGCATCACCGCTTTTGCCAAAGCTGAAAAACAACCCATAATAGGTCAGGGCGGCAGGCAGAGAAACTCTGCGATGCTGGTCTGACCGCAAGGATACAGTACCGGTGTTCTTGGCCAGGAGAGCACAGTGGAGAGTGAACTGCAAAGAAGAGTCGTGCAGCCTGGCCTCCTTCAGCTTCTTACAGTAGTCGACGAGCTTCTCCACAGGCTGAGGGGAAAGACAGCGAGTCAGTCGGACAGCCTGCAAATGCAGTCTTAGCTCTTCGGCAATCAAAGTCTTAATTCCTCCCTTTCTACCCAGAAATCTTCAACAGGAAGTTTCCGGTTGCTCACAACCCGTCTCATCTCACGAGTGTTCCCGCTTTAAAGCACCTCATTTCACTACCGACTACACACTCTACAAAGTGAAAACAGGCAGAATACCGTATTCACAGTCACGCAGTGCCGCAAAAAGAAACTGCCAAATACATTTCCGCTCTCTTCCTTCGACACGGGTAATGCCAATAAAATCTGGAGTGCAGTATCTTCCAACTTTTCCGTGACTAAAAGCAAAATGAGGTTCATTGCATCTGGGAAGAAAATAAAGACATCTGTTGTTACTAAACAGAGCGATCTGTTTAAACTGTAATCAATACTAATGAAAACACAGGGCCAGCAACATGGTGCAGCAGATAAAGAAAGGCGCTTGCTGTCAAGCTGTATGATCTGAGTCCCACCCTAGGAAAGATCTGACTCCTGCGAGTTGCCCTCTCTGACCTACACACACACACACACACACACACACACACACACACACACACACACACACACACCCTGTGGTATATGCATAACCAAACACTTAGAACTGCAAACGCCAAAAGGATAGATCTACATATGTAAGAGTACCAGACTTCCTACTTCCACATCCTGGAGCACTCAGTTAACTAACATATATTTAGCTACCTGTACTGACCACAAGTCCTATGTTTATTTCCCACTGTTAAGAAGTACCCTTTGGCCGGGCGGTGGTGGCGCACGCCTTTAATCCCAGCACTCGGGAGGCAGAGCCAGGCGGATCTCTGTGAGTACAAGGCCAGCCTGGGCTTACCAAGAGAGTTCCAGGAAAGGCGCAAAGCTACACAGAGAAACCCTGTCTCGAAAAACCAAAAAAAAAAAAAAAGTACCCTTTGTACCAGAAGTATCTTTGTACCCAGAAATAGTAATCCAGGTAGTCACAAAAGTCATGTAGATAAAAAGTTTTAAGTACCTGGAATATATCTTCTTTCATAGGAAATCTTTTCCAGAATTTCTGAGACGTACTGAGGATATCCAGCCTTACTAAAGGTAGCAATAATTTGCAATAAATCACGGTCCATAAGATAATGATCTGATTTCTCCACTTTCTCCAGAATCTAAAGATGGTTGTAGTAATGGAAATGAAAAGTATTAAAGCTAAGTAAAATAACAACACTCAATACCCTAATCCAACAGTAACTGTCACATATCAACATCAAAGTATCCAACTAATAATTTTCTTTGAACATTACTCTTTACAAGAAGACATTTTAAAACAAACACAGCTATGATTTTTGTTTCACATAAAATGTAGCACAAGTTCACACTATGACTTCAATATTGACTTACACAGCATGAACCATACCTGCTTAACATGGTCAATGTCACCCTTCTCAGCATATGCGTTCAACAAGGCCACATACGTGTCTGGCCCAGGTTCAATGCCAGCCTCTTTCATCACTGTGAGAATATTTTCTGCGTTCTCCATATCTCTATAAATTATTTCAAAGAAAACCTAAGATTGCTGAATATAATTACTCAGTCTAAAATGTATTGCATAAGCTTATTAAGATCATTAATTTTAAACACTACTGGGAATTACACCTAAAAAGGACAACTACTTGTTAAATTGATTATATATTTCTGAAATAACAGAAACCACAAGCATCTGAAACGTTTACAGATGACTTCACCCCGCTATGTAATAACTGCATAAAAATTAAGTAAGGCACATTCTTACACTAGGTGTGCAGGGACACAGGTTTACAACAGAGTAGATTACTCACTTGTGAAAAATAAAAATACTTCCTAGATCAGCAAACTTTAAAATTTAATCACCTCCAATCAAGCCCAATTTAACACTGAGTAACTGTAAATTTTGTGTAACAAATTTCAGTGTGCTCCACCTCACACCAGATTGGAGGAATAGATAAATATGTCCTGTGAGTCCTCTACAGTTATTTTCTAGGACTGAAACCTTGGTGACAAACCGAAGCCTCAGTGGAAAATTACCCAGCTCTTGCATGGCCTGTAATAAGAGCACTGAACACCGCCTCTGTGATTGGAAGATCCTTTGTTTTCATAAATCCAAGAATCTTGCTGCAACAAAAGAGAAGTGACATTTATCAGTGACACTTGCTAATGCGTCTATGAACTGGGCCCTAAGTTCTTTTTGTTTAGCATAACATGTCCTTGTTTTAAAACAAAACAAAACAAAAACGGGAAAAATAGTCCCCTTCTCATGGAACTGTATTCCTTGAGGTGTCAACAGTTTTGAATCCTCTTGGTAGAACTACTAGGTATGTGGCTCAGTGGTACAGGACTTGCCTAACCTGTGTGGGAGGCCCTAGGTTCAATCCCAGCATGAGGGCAGGAGGAAATGAGGACTCATTTGGGAGGGAAAAAAAAATCAATATATTGAGTTAAAAATGGATTGTATAGTTCAACCTATTCCTTATTTCCCAGGCTAAAATGGCGATAATATTTTTATAGGCAGAGAAACATTGCAGTTGAATTTTATCTGAATCAGTGGGCAAATGAACAGTTTAAATAGCTAAGGAAAACTCCCTAAGAAAATAGTTTTTTAAAAAAAAGTAAATATAGTTTTGCATCTAAACAATCTATACTTCGGTTCTAATTAAGAAAGCAACTTTTATTTCTTTCCCTTTTATACATTTTTTTTTTTTTTTTGAGACAGGGTTTCTCTCTCTGTAGCTTTGGAGCCTGTCCTGGATCTCGCTCTGTAGACTAGGCTGGCCTCGAACTCACAAAGATCCACCTGCCTCTGCCTCCCGAGTGCTGGGATTACAGGTGTGCGCCACCACCATCCAGCCAATTTTTTAAAACCATATTCTAAATTTACTATATCAAAACACTTCTAAAATAATTCCCTTTATAAAGGATAAATTTTCAAAAAAGTAGATACATTTTAGGATTATACAATTTGCAAATCTATTTGTATAAACCTACACTTGATGATGATGAGACAGTTTGTCGGGTAAAGGAGCTTATGGCCAAGCCTAACAACTGGACTTTAACCCCTAGAACTGAACCCCAGAATCCATGACAGACAGAGCCAACTCCTACAAGTTGTCCTCTTGATTCCCAAACTCATGCCCACACACATATACACAGAAACACATAATAAATCAAAGGAAAGGAAACTAAAAACAACCACATTTGTAAGAAATCCATACCTGGCACCTTCAATGTCTCCAGCATCACAGTAGGCAGCAATCAACCTCTGGTATGTCACCTGTCAACGAAACGGGCAGCTTAACATTTCGGACACCAACACTTCCGGGGAACAGCAGAGGTGGGTGTGGCCGCTCAGCACCCACACAGCCGCTACCTACCCGATTTGGCTGGACGTTTGCTCCCTCCATCTTTGCCAGGAAATCAGTAGGCGAGAATTTATGTTCATTTTGAAGATACACTTTAAGTAATGCATTGTAATGACTGACATCATACACGGTACCTATAAATGAAATTGAAATCGGATGTTTAGAAAAGCCTCTACCATCACATCCTTAGTACAACCAAACTGCAGATATTAATGACTGCTCACTTGTGAAACAGTATTGTCTTCCTGTGAGAACAGGCTGACAATACCTCTGTATTTAAAGGTGACAGAGGCATTCCTGTATGAAGCAGTCCTTACCATGCTGCAGATGAACCGTGACTACAAGTCCTTCATAAAGTAGGACTGTTGGAAATTTTTCTTAATCTTTACCAGGTCACCCAAAGCCTCTGCCTGAAGGAGCTCTTCCTCCTTTAGTCTGAACACCATTTCCAGTCTACTAGCATTATTTACCCATATTCTAATGTCCTTGTCTTCTTCCTGTGGATACTACCTATGGTCACATCTGTTAGGACTCTACCAACAAATGACATTATTGTTGGCAGTACAGTAGGATTCTCTCACCTATAAATACCTTGGGCTGCATTCAAAGCTAGCCTTGGTGCATGTGACCTTCAGGTCGCAGATTGGGCACACTTGAATGAGTAACATGTTGCACTTAATTTCCATTAAATCTTTTATCCTTAGTCAATTAATTGTACGTTGCACAGTAGTGGTCATTATCTGGGATCAGTTTATAAGATTCTAAGCAGTTATATTAAATAAATTCTTCCTTGTTTTCATCTTTACATACATATAAAATACTAATTTTCAGGAGCTATGCTAAGGGGTCCACACATAAATACTTGGTTATTATTCTTCACAGATTTCGGGCAAATACTTTTATTTTTCCCACTTTACAGACGAGGAAGATTTTTCCTTCCAACTCTCTAAAGTCACATAAATGACAAGAGATTTCAATTTCAGTAGCGTGAACTGAAGGTAATCTCTTTTTCTGTTGTTTTGGGTCTTGCTCATATCCTCTGATCGTTTTAGGATCTGCTATCTAGATCAAGGCAAGCACAACCCTGTGGTGATCCTTCTGCCCTGTCGTCCAAATGCTGATGAGAGGCATCACCACTAAAGGGGTCTCGAGTCTTCAGTACTGTAACATTTGAAATAGGGCCTCGCTGGGAACTGTCAGTCACACCTGTAACATGACTATGGAACACGGTTACCACAGAATATCTTCAATGTATTTTTTAGAAGCAGCAACACATTTAAAAAAAATCAATCAACTTAAGAGGTGGAAAAGATGGTTCACTCAGTCAAATTTTTGCTCCACAAACAAGACCTGGGTCTGCTCTCCAGCACCCCTGGAAAAAGCCAGGCATGATGGTAAATCTCAATAGTCAACTTGGTAAGTCCTCCACTCACTGGGAGACCAGCTTCTGGACAGACATCTGTGAGAGATTCCTTTGATTAGGTTAACTGAGGTGGAAAGACCTCCTTCACCTGGGGACAAATCTTTAGGCATACATGTGAGGAAATTACTTTAATTGGATTAACTGAGGTAGAGGATCCACCCACTGCAGGTAGCACCATTCCCTAGGCTGGGAACTGGGCTGTATAAAGAAAGATGTACAACAAGCTGACTATGGAAACAATGTGACCAGCTCTCTCTGGATCCTGCTGTCTTAACTACCCAGAAATGATGGACTTTACTCTGAAACTGTGAGCCAAAATAAATCAAAGTTGCTTTTGTCAACGCATTTTATCACAGCAAAAGGAACATTAACTAATACACCAGGCATGGTGGTATAACTGTCATCCTACTCTTTGAGGGGCACAAACAGGCAAATCCTAGGGCTTGCTGGCCAGGCAGCCAAACATAATTAGTGAGTCGGATCACAGTGACAGATCCTGTCTTAAGAAAAGAAAAAGTGGATGGTACTTGACAAAGACTGTATGGTGCCCTTTGATCTCATATATATGCATACAAATGTGCCCACGCACCTGCACATTCATGTGCAACACCCCCCCCCCCAGGTAGTATATCATCTTTCAAAATGTTCTTTTCTTAAAATTTTATGTTAAACTTAGATGTGACTGCCTACCCTCATAGAATAGAAATGGGTCACTACAATCCTGAGTCATTTGACTTCTGAACTGTGCTAATGTTTCCTATTTAATGAAGCAAAAATCTGTAAACAAGAGTCACACTGGCAGTCTACCAGGCTTGTGGAACCATTCATTCAACAAGTGTCTCAAGTGTTACTGTAACAAAGTGGAACAGAGTCCATTCTCAAAAAGACTGCCGCAGCAAGGAAAACCTTTGGGAAAATGCCAACCAAGAGCAATATACTTCAAGTATTTTCATTCCCACGGGAAAAGACTGTTTCTATTTCAGACTTCAGTCGTTTTTGCAAATACTTCTCTCATTTTAGCAAGTTTTTTAATTATACAGCTCACACAGAATTCTGTTCCGTGTTGGAAAATGAGACCTTTGCCCATGCTAGCCCTAGAAATTATCCTCTCTCCCTGTTCTCCTTTTGTTTGTTTTGTTTGTTGTTTGTTTGTTTAGACCCGCCTCTGCCTCTCCAGTGCTGTGATTAAAGGCATCCAGTCCTAAAAGCATGTACGTATGAGCACCATTAAATGGACTCAGCAGATTGTATTTATATAATCATATATATGTGTGACAATAGGTAAAGAAAAAACGGCTATGAATTTGAGGGGGTGATAATACAGAGGAGGAGCTGGAGGAAGAAAAGGGTGGGAGAATAATGCAAAGACAGTACTCATGTGAAATTCTCAAAAAAATTTTTTTTAAAAGCTTCTCATTTTTATACTTCATTCATTACTACCTTTCTGCTGCTTTTATACTTAAAAATCATTTCCCATTGTAAAATCCAATATATACATAAGTATATTCTAATTTTTTAAATAAATTCAAAGCTGTGAGGTTAAGATCATTCTTTATTCTATACCTTTTCTGTACAGCTATATAATAAAGGCCAGTCCAGACATCTTATGTGTCTGTCACTGTCCTTAACTGGATCCTAAGGATTTTGTAACTAGGAAAGTTGTAGGTTTCTTCTTTAGTATGTGCAACTGATTACATTAAACTGACTTTCCAGGGCTCTACAGACCAACAACCACCGAAAAGCCAACAGTGCTGATACACATTGCTGGCTTTAGATATTAACTTGATGAAGAAACTGGAAGAGCAGCCAATGCTCTTAACCACCAAGACATCTCTCCAGCCCCCTCAAATTTTTGAAGTATTAAAAAAAGGCACTTAGCCAAGCATGGTGGCCCACATCTTTAATCCCAGCACTAGGGAGGCATTCTCTGTGAGCAAATTCCACAGTAGCCAGGGCAACATGGTAGAACCCTGTCTTAACAATATCAACAACAACAAATGTATGAGTAAAAATTCTATCAGTGTTCATCATCCTTCCAGACCAGAAATATTTCAATATAGTGGATACACATACATAGGAAAACTCACTGCTTATGGATGATGGTATACTGTCTATACTGTTCAACCTCGTAATTTTTATGTCTATTTCACCAATATGTGAAGATTCAGGATACTCTATCATAGACTCGCCATAATTTATTGACCTGATCCCCAGTGAAAGGCACTAGGATTGAGTCCAGTCCCTGCTATTATAAGAGACAGTAGAGTACCCTTTTATGTGTGAGTACATCTCTACCTAAATTCTAACAACACTATAATACTGTAGGTTGAGTTATAATTGACAGCCCAAATGTCTATTTTGTCACTTATCAAAATTCTAATTCATGAAAGGAAAACTATTTTACTCTTAATGCCCCTAGATGTCACTATAACTCACCAAATAGACATATTGCCAAAAGCAGTATTGAGTCAAGAAGTCCTATGATAAAATAAGATTATAATACTGATGTGAAGAACACTTTCAGTGGAACAAAAAACTACCTACACCTTTACACATGTCATGCACTAAAACAATCATACCTAATTTCTGAAGTTTGTCCCATATCTTATGAGCAAACTCTGTCCTTTCTGCAAGACTCAGCTCAGGCAAGAGTGAACCACAGCTGCGCAGCAGGAGCAAGGCTTGATTACCACCTGGGCTACCTAGAGAAAAACAGTTAAGAGATTACAGGTAAACAGAGGCAAATATCAAAGCTTCATCTGAAGTTCATAAATTATTTGAAAATCTTCAGGCTTTTCAAAAGTATCAAGAAAAATATCCATTAATGATCCACAACCACCCCCACCCACCGCAGCTCACCGAAGACGAGAGGGCAAACACCTCAATCCACACCACTATTAAATAACACAACTGAAATGTGTAGCCGTAGGCTGCTTTAAGAAATCCAAGGCTATGAAAGAAACCTCCATACTACTCTGTAAGACTGATGGATCCAAGGAGAACTCTAATCCCTAACCAGTGCCTGCTGCAATTCACAGGCTACGCCTCTCAGTACCGTAATGAACTCACGTTGTCACAGTGAAGCTTCATCTCCATGTCCCTTAAAGCAGACTTGAAGACAACACAAAAATAAACACGTACTGTGTAACTCCATCTCTAAGTACATTCAGAGCACGTAACTAAAGGGCAGAAAACACACTTGTGTGTGCCTAGGACTGGAGAGGATGGAAAGGGCTGGAGCACAACGTAAGTTCCAAAACTGCTGACGGGTGAGCAGCGTCTGCCCATGACTAACTGTCATGGGACCTCTTTGTTACACCTTATCCCTGGAAACTGCTCTCTAGGGAACGGATGCCCACAAACAGGCTCTGGAAGAACCTTCTTAAAATGCACACAAAATTGTACAGGCTAGTACGTTTGCATTTGTATTTGCAGGAGAAGGAAGAGCCTGGGAGTGAAGGACCTGCAGCTCCCGTCAGACTATCCCAGATCGAAGCGGTCTGCCTGCTCAGAGGCTGATGGACAGAAGGGAAATGGCTATCAGTCTTCACTGTGCTCACCCCAGGAGAACCTGGTGCCTTCTTCCAGTTTGCCACTGAAAGCAACTCTAAGGACCAGGGGGAGCAAATGGCTCTTTTTATTTGCTGAATCTGAAATGAACTCCAAACTCTGCCTGGGTGAACTGGAAGGACAGCAGGATAGTAGTCACAGGACACTTCATTTCAAATGATGCTCCACAGTGAGCTTCCACACACTCAGGAGAAACTCGCAAGTACCTGAGCGACACGTGCTCTCAAAGACTCTCTGCAGAAGCCCCTTTGTAATGCGGCCCGTTCTTCGGACAGAGTTATCCAGTCTCATCAGAGCCCAATCGAACTGACTCCTCCTCACAGGAGCAGGCTCCTCTTGAAGATCCCTCTTTTCGGCAACAATGGCATATAACCTGGCTTGGCTCAGCTGCTCTCTGTAAAATAAAGTACAATCAGTAATAAACTAATTGCTATCTAGTCAGGGCATCGTTGGGGTGAAGTTTATACCAAGTTCTGACAGTCACTAAATACCTAATATTGCAGTGAAATAGCAGAAGTATTCGGAGAAAATTAAAGTTTTCGTTTTACACACACACACACACACACACACACACACACACACACACACGAACGGTAAAACTCCAGTGGATTCTAAGTGTATTGATAACCTAACATGAAATCATTTCAAACTAAGCAGCTATAATTATATTTCCTTATTGAAGGAAAATAAGCAGCTCATGCAACAAGCTCTTCTCGTTTGTGTAAATGAAAGGCCAAGGTGTACTCCAAACTCTACAACTACCTTCAAGGATTTGTTCTGGCATGAGCTCATTATGAACTGACATTTTTAAATCAGTTACAAACTCTACAACTACCTTCAAGGATTTGTTCTGGCATGAGCTCATTACGAACTGACATTTTAAATCAGTTACTTAACCTAGAAGGAGAGAAGTTGATTCCAAGTTAAGACTACGCATTTCCCTTACAGGATCACTCAAGCCCAAGTCATTTCCCATCTGTCTAAGTAAAGCAAGCATCTCAATCTCATAGCTTTGCACTTGTCCACACACTATCTGTATACCTCCCTAACTCTTCAAAGTGGGGACCATCAAAATAAAACTGCATTCTGGGCTTAGTCAACACACTATCTGTATACCTCCCTAACTCTTCAAAGTGGGGACCATCAAAATAAAACTGCATTCTGGGCTTAGTCAACACACTATCTGTATACCTCCCTAACTCTTCAAAGTGGGGACCATCAAAATAAAACTGCATTCTGGACTTAAGCAGTATTAATTTTAAAGATATCAGATAAGAAATGAGTTAAGATCAGAATAATACATGTTTCTACAGAATCATTTTTGTGATGGCGTCTCATTTAGTCCAGGCTGGCCTGAACTTCCTATGGAACCGACAATGACTCTGACCTGCTGATGCTCTTGCTTTCCACTCTGCTGGCATGCCAGGCCTGTGCCCAGGGTTATGCAGTGCAGGGAAGGGACCCATGCTAATGAGTACCGTACGAACTAAGCTACTGACACCCCCAGAACAAGCAACTCTTTAGTATATTAATAACTAATATTTTATTTATTTTATATACTTATACAACTTTAATATATTAATACAACTAAACTTCTCAACTGTGCAGAGGTATTTCACACTACATGAATAAATGCTGTATTTGATTTACAACTATCAGACCTAAAAGATAAACTTTACATGTAAATAATACTGTCTTAAATCCTTAATTTTGAAAGGCTTTCTCTGAATTCAAATATCTCACTTTCAACATATTCAATTCTTGGGGATCTATTCTGAACACTTTAATTTTAGTTGCACTAAATTATACTAAGCGTCATGTCTAAAACTATTAGTTCAGAAAATGCCTTCAGGATGATGGCCACACTTTCTGGCACAGAGGACTTCTGTACCCTGTGTCAGCGGTGAGTGTAAGAACAGAACTACAGGAGCTAAGTGCAGAACTGGGAACGGAGCATGGACCTGGCATACAAAAGCCCCGGGTTTGGGCCCAGCCCCCCAAAAGCCATTGTTTTCCTGTTATTAGCCAGTCACAAATTGACTGTGTATGTGAACCGTCATCAAAGGCTCTGTCACATAGTAATGTAAACCAGAGTCTGTAATTGGTCCTGGAGTAGAAATTATACCACGGTGATCAGAGACCAATCACAACCACCTAGACATCATATATAAAGAATAAATCAGAAACTATGGTAGGGGAGTAGGGATACTACTAAATGCGATGACATCCTCTGTGTGCGTGTGTGTGCGTGTGTGTGTGCGTGTGTGTGTGTGTATGCGCACATGTATGTGCATTGTGTAGACAGCTGCTGGTTAGGGGAGCAGAATTACTTAAATGATAGGTTATCATCCACAAACTAGATGCATGTTTCTCCTTATTTATCAAAGGTCTTATTTATATTTTACTGTAATAATCATCAAAAACTATGCCCTTGCTAGTGTGAGGTAAAGAGAGCAGCAGTGTTTAAATAACCCAGAATAACATGTGCAATAATTCATATTAATGCACAACCTTTTGAGCAGTGGAAGTCAACTTGCTAACTTCTACACAACTCAAATCTGTGACTACTAAAAGAGACGCGCGCGCGCACACGCACACACACACATGTTTAATGGAGCTTTAAATGCTAGCATACATTAATAATACAGCCCAGAATTTGTTGGGTTTTTTTTTTCGTTCATTTCCTTTTACAAGGCTGGTGACTGAACCAGGGTCTCCCACATGCAAAGCAAATGCTCTACCCTGACCTAACTCCAACCAGAACTGACTTTGATGTCAACTCGGACATGCCTAGAAGAACAGGAGCACAAGCAAGGTCACAAGCAATGGGCATGCTGTGACGGAAAGGAGGGGACATATCCGTGGTTGGTCAAGCTGGGTCAACACGAGTTAGGAGTCCACCAAACAGGCTTGCACAAGCTGGAGCATCCTGCCTCCAAATTCTAATGCCTCAAGCGATGTGACCTTATCATCTCATGCAGCTATCACTGATAACAGCTTCTTCGTGTTTTAAGTCAAACACCTCACTTTACCCTGAGCCTCTGGTAAACCCCATTAACGTTTATTTTGTTGCTGTCTTTTTATTTTTAAACAATAATAGTGTGGCAGAGTGTTTATCATCCAGGGGACTGGATGATAACCTTGAAGCCAGTGCCATTTTTTAAAACAACTTTTTTTAAGCATACAGAAAAGTACAGCTCACACACATACAGCTCCCTCTCCAGTTTCCCCAACCACCAAGCCACATCAGTGTCCTGCATTTGCAAGAATGACAAACTAACCACTGTGAACTGGAACCTCTCTGTCCTAGCCAGTTTTATGTCAACTTGGCACAGTGAGAGTCTTAAGAGAGGAGGGAGCTTCAATCGAGAAAATGCCTCCAAGAGATCCAGCTGTAGGCAAGCCTGTGGGGCATTTTCTTAATTATTTAATTAGTGACCGAAGTTAGTGGGCTCAGCCCATGGTGGGTGGTATCATCCCTGGGCTGGTGGTCCTGGGTTCTATAAGAAAGCAGGCTGAGCAAGCCAGTAACTAGCACCCCTCCATGGCTTCTACATCAGCTCCTGCTTTCAGGATCCTGCCCTGTTTGAGTTCCTGTCCTGACTTCCTTCAGTGACGGACTATGGTGTGGAAATGTAAGCCAAATAACCCCTTTCTTCCCCAACTTGTGTTCCACCGGGGCACTAGGAGCCCTACCTAAGACACTCCAGCTGACACTGGCAGTTATACTCACTCTGTGTAGAGATGCCCACACGGACAAATACAGTATGTGCCACTGTTCCAGGACCGTAGAGAATGACGTCACTGGGCTCTGTGTCCCACCCATCACTGCTCTGGACTTGCTCTAATCTGCAGCAAGTGCAGGCCATTCTACACTCCTCCAGTGTCGTTACCAGGTGTCAGACAACTGCACAGTAACATGTGGCCGTTTCAGAATGGCTTCTCTCACCTTGCCAGAAACATCTCAAGTTCTTCCATGTCTTTCCACAGTACAATGGTCCATTTCTCCTTATGGATGTATAATATTTCACAGTCTGGGTAAATTTACTTTAACTCAGCTATTGAAGGCTATCTTGAACTTTGCCAATTTTGAATAAAACTACTACACATATGTGTATAGTTTTTGTGAGGACATAAGAGCTGAGCTCACTTGGGTAAATACTTAGTGTGAAGTCTACTTTTAATTTTGTAAGTGGCTATGAAACTAGCTTTCAAAAGAGCTATGCAATGTGCATTCCTCCAGCAGCCAATGGGAGCTGTTTCTTTGTATCACTGTGAGCATTTAGTTTTCAGTGTTTGGGCTTAAGTAGACACTCTTCCAGGTGAGGTAGCCCAGCCGTGTCTTCATTTACAATTTGTTAATGACTAGGAACTCTTAGGTAGTTTTCATACTTATGTGAAGTCTCTGTTTTCTCTAGTGAGCTATCTGTTCAGAATTTCTGCCCAATCATAACCTGGGTCATATACTTTCTAACCATAGAATTTTAAAATATTTGTGGTGGTTTTGTTTCAACTCTTTTGATACTCAAGTGTTACTCTTTCCTTTTCACTGAATATGCACTAAGCTAGCTGATCACACACATTCTTCAAACTCTTCTCCCCTGGTTAATGACTTGGTTTAAAGTCACTTTGGAGCTATCAGGGTTAAAGATAAGGATAGGCATATAGGACAAAAAGTGTATTGTTAATAGCTACTTTTTAATGCATGCTAGGTAACAGTAAATGATTATGATAGCCCCCACCTTACACATGAGAAAACTGACCAATGTTCCCCAAATCACAGAAAAGGCTAGTTAAAGATGCGATGAGAGAACTCAGATCTGCATTTGAGTGGTCCATCTCAAAGACATCACCCGGCTGCAATGCAGGAGCCGAAAGTAAACCCAGATAAGAACAACTAGATGATGTGGAGCCTCCAAAACCACAAATTGTAAACTACTCAGTCTCAGACACTCTTAGAGCAGCCCAAGAAGTCTCTATGCCTAAACCTTAAAAGGACGGGGCAAGAGAGATGCTCAGTGATTAAAGAGCACAGGCTGCTCTTCCAGGACCCAGGTTCTGTTCCCAGCACCCACATGGCAGCTCACAACCAGTTGCAACAAGTTCCAGGGGATCCGACACCCCTTCTGGCCTCCATGGGCAGCAGGCACACATGATATACAGATATACATGTGGGAAAATACTCACATAAAACTAAACATTTTTTAACTGATAGAATAATAGTGTTTCCCTTATAAGAGCATTAACTGAGACCAGGAAGTTAGTCTACAGCACACTTCTAGGCAAGATGATTTTGAGACTGCATTTAGGCAAGGATTTTCTATTTCAGTAAGTTTTACTTTCTGATGATTAAAAAAAATAGTAACAGCCGGGCGGTGGTGGCGCACGCCTTTA